CATCACACTGAATCTGTTTGCATGAGGATCTGTATGTGTTAGCTGTTGCGTGCATGCAGCATGTGTCCATGTGTTTTCTCTGGGCATAATGAAATTTCAAGAGATTTTCATTTTCTCTGTACATACTGTATTGTCTTAATTGTTGTAATGATCATATAATTTTTTCTAGCAGGAAAAGACACCAAAGCTTTTCTCCTAGGCAGGGAGGACACAAGCATGACAGGAAATACTCTGTACGAAGTAGGTTTGGGGTGAATGTGACTGGAGTGACGAAAGACCACAGATTTGAAGGAATCTATCCCAGCTCCCAGAGCCAGCGTTCCTGTCTCAGTGCCTCCCAGCTCTCAAGCCTGCCTGCCATTTGGCACCCTGTGGAAGGAGAGAATGTCCCTCCTTCCATTTTTAGATAATCTGTTTTTGGAAAAGCCAGAGGTGGAGTTGCACCTGGGAATTTGGGCCAGTGGCCTAGAGCCAGAAGGCTGGGCCTCCCCTGCCTCCTTCCTCCCCTTTGCCCTCCTCCCCATCCACCCTGTCCCTGGGTTCCAGGGCCTAGTGTGTTCTCCCCTCCGCCCCCCTGCCTGGTTCTCCCACACCCCCACCAGCCAGGCAGAGGTGGGATGGTGATTTTACAGCACCGTTATTACTCCATTGTTGCCCACACTGGGCCCCACAACCACTCCATGAGCAGGCCAGACCCTTCCAGAGAAAAGGTTTCCTATACCTTTACAATGTGAGAGGAAAAAAGGGGCCGTTGGATTTATGGAAACTATATAAAGTTTATGAAGTCTTGGCGGGCCAGAAGTAGGCATGCCTGCAGGATGGGGGTGTGTTTTGAAATGGAGAATGCCCTGCAAGAGCAATGGGCTTCTGTCGAGACACCAGACAAAATCTCCAAGTTTAAGGTGTGCTGTGTGAGCCTGGGGACCAGGGAAACAGACCTGGAGGGAGCAGCTGCTGGGCATGGTCCCCCCCACCAGCCCCGGTGAACTCATGCACTCCCAGAGCATTCCTAGGAGGCATGGCTGTCCCCAGTCAGTCGAGGGTGACTCCACAAAGGTATTTTGAAAGTACGGACTTGCCCGAGGTTGCAGAGTGACCGTGAAAGGGTTGATCCAGGTAGGCCGGTGCTCTCTTGATCTCTCCTGTGTACTGAATGATGTGTCCCAGTTCTAGGTACTGAAAATACAGTCTCCATAACCTATTTCAGGTTGGAACTTGTCCGCTATTTGTGATCGAGTCTCACAGTCCCCTGCAAACCCTCAGTCGTCACTGCTTAGGTTTGCACACTAGGATTGGTAGGGACAGAAGCAAAGCCACTTCAGGATTAGTTCTGAATCAGGGCAAGGTTCGAATATACTGCCTTTGCCTTTGGGAACCCTGCTGTGTCCCACTTCTTCCATAGGACCTTCCTGGGACCCTGAAGAAGTATTCCAGGAGGTGCAAAGTCACCTCTTCCTCTTCCCGTTGCCCTTGCACTGGTTTCTTTTGTGTGTGCCTGTGGCATCTCTTTTTCTCCCTCCTACTTGGCTACAAATTCTTGGAGGCAGATTCCATGAATGATTAATTCTTCTTTGCTGGTTTTGCCCACAGGGCCTGGCAGAGTTCCAGTGTATAGTAATCGCTGTATAAATATCAGCTGGGAGGGAAAGTGGATGGATGAATGGATGGATGGATGGGAAGACAGATGAGTGAGAAAACAGATCCCACGATGGGCAGGTGAATAGGTGGGTAGGTGGTGGATGGACGGAAGGATGGTAAAGTAGATGGTGGAGGGCAAGTGGCTGGTTGAATGGATGGATGAATGGGAGGACATGTGGGTGGGTGGGTGGATAGGTAGAGGGATAGGCATGTGTAGATCATCACACTCACACTCATTTACACCCCCACAGTTAAGACCTGGCTTCTCCCAGGCTTCTTACTAAATGCTCTTCTGTTGGGAGGGTGGGGGTTGGACTTTGCTCTCTGTGAAGTCAACTCGAGAAGCCAGCCTGTGTGTTTGAATGTGTGTGTAAATACTTTACAATCCCTCATAAACTTGTTTAAAGACAGGTGGGGTGAAAGTATAAACTTGAGCAGCCTTTGGGGAGGACACTTTGGAAGTGGCTATTAAAATTTTAAATGTGCCTACCACCAAGACCCAGCAGCTCCACCTTTAGCTCCTGAGGATAAGAAATATATTCATGTGCTTGCACACAAAGAGCCATGCACTGGGTGCTGGCATGAGTCTGCTCACTGTGGGATGACTTAGAACCGTGTGGATTAAAAGTAGCCTGACGTTCATGTCCATTGGGATGGTGACCCAACCATGAGACTTTCTACCATGGAAAACTGCAGCCACCAGAGGTAGATCTGTGTGCAGAGATGGACAGTTCACAACCGGGGCTCGGGGTGGGACTCTCTGGAACTCTGGGACTCAGCCATCTCAGCAGGTGCCTCCTTAGCCCACCTCTGTCTCTTTCCATTTCTTTTACTTCTTCCTTCAGTGGGGGGTGGGGGTGGGGGAGACAAGCCCACTGGAATTAGATATTTAAATCTCATGCCTACTCTGCAGTGACCTTCCCCTTCAGAAAGGAAAATAAGAGAAAAGCAGTTATGTGCATAATGACTATCTGATGGCTCTTCAATTAAAGAGACTGAAATGCACAATATTAAAATCTGATTTATGGGTGCCACTATCTACCTTAATAGTGAGGCCAAGAGCCGAAAAAGCACCATAGTCATTATGGGAAAGCAGAGCCTTTTTTCTCCTTGCAGAGACAAATTGACTCTCATTTTCTTATTGCTAAAGGGGTGTGAAATGGTTTCAGGCATCTGTGATACGTTCTTCTGTTCTGCTGAAATCCAGGACTTAGCAATTTGGGAGTAAATTAGGAGTCATCTGGCTGAGCGGTTCAGGGATGCTTCCTGAGGAGATTGGTGTCTGGATACCCAGGTTGCATCCACCACAAGCCACTGTGCACCAAGATACAGATGCTGCCCGCTGCCCGTGATCCCCACTGGCTATCAGACTGATCTTTGATGACTCTGGAGGGGCTAAGGCCACAGCTTAGGAGGAGGGGAAACTCAGGATGCAGAGTCCCAACATGGCGGCATGCTGGGTGTTTAACACCCCAGTTTCTTCTGTGTGTGTGTGTGTGTGTGTGTGTGTGTGTGTGTGTGTGTACATGTGGAGACCAGAGGTTGATGTCTGGGCCATTCCTCTATCACTCTTCTCTGAATGAACTTGGAACTTTCTGTACCATCTAGACTAGCTGACCTGTGAGCCCCTAGAATCCAGCTCTCCACCTTCCCAGCCAGAACTGGGGTTATAGACATGTGCTGCTGTACCCAGCTTTTACATGGGTGCTGGGGATCCGAACTCAAGTCCTCATACAGCAAGCACCTTACCCACTGAGCCATCTTTCCAGCCCTCTGCACACTGATTTTTTAAAAATAGTGATCATGGTTGTTATTATAGATAATTTTGCTTAACATTGGAAGAGCTGGAACTGAACCCAGGCCTTGTGTTTCCAGGGTACTGGCTGATGTGGGGGCAGAGCTGAGAGGATCCCAGTCTTTTCTCTTTCTAGCTAATGCACTGGGAGAGCCAGTGTAACCCTCTGAATCTCATTTTGTTCATCTATGGAGTAGTTTCTCCTTAGCAAGGGTGTCGTAAGGCTTACAGCTTAATAAACAAAGGAACAGAATCTGCCCAGAACATAGCTGATGGATGGCAGTGTTTTGCACAATGAGCACTTCTTACTAAGATGAGCATTGGGGGAGCACCATCTCCTGGAAGGAGGGATCCAGTCCTGGTTCAGGGCCATCCATTCACCGTGGCTAGGCAGCAGGTACCTGCAGAATCCTCCCTGGCTTTAAAAATAAGTTACAGGGGCTAGAGAGATAGCTCAGTGGCTAAGAACACTGGTTGCTCTTCCAGAGGACCTGGATTTGATTACCAGTACTCACGTGATGACTAACAACAGTCTGTAACTCCAGTTCCATGACTGACACCCTCTTCTGATGTCTGCAGGCATTGCATGACATGGGTGCACTTATACATATGCAGGCAATACACTCATATATGTAAAATAAATAATGAATAAAATATTTAAAAAAAAATAAGAGTGACAAGGCTGGGCATGGTGCATAGACCTATAATCCTAGCACTCTGGAACCCAAGGCAGGAGGATCATGATTCAGAGGCCATCCTGGGCTGCATGGCCAGACCCTATCTCAAAAAAAAAAAAAAAAGCTGCAAGCTGGGCGTGGTGGCACACACCTTTAATCCCAGCACTCAGAGGCAGAGGATCTCTGTGAGTGTGAGTTCAAGGCCAGCCTGGTCTACATAGTGAGTTCCAGGACGGCTGGGGCTACAGGGAGACCCTGTCTCAAAACGACCAAAAAAAAAAAAAAAAAAAAAAAAAAAAAACTGCAAAGAAAAAGTAAAATTGGCAGCTGCTATTGCAGAGGCTGTGTTGCTGGTGACATGCATGACTCTTGGGACCCTCCTTAAACTTTGGAGTAGGTCTTGTCCCAGCATGCAGAAGTGGAGGTGGGTGTATGGTTTAAGCAAGAGGCTGGGAGTTGGCCAGAAGTCTGACCTTAGGACTGGCAGATCATTTCCCCTAAACTCTGATACATTCCAGCTCCCATCCTAATTCCTAACCACTGGCTCCATTCCACTCTGGCCCTCACCCCATCTCTACCTTAACTAAGCCCCTGCACGGGCCTACTGCCTGGTGGGTGACTTTTAGATTTCCCACCAGTGTTGCTTAGCCTGAAGACAGGTGGTTGGAGACCCATGGATGATTTGGATTTGTGCAGTATACACAGGTTCGGGGGTTGGGGGATCGGGCGCTACATGAGCCCTTGGTGGCTCCCTTCTGGGAGGGGCTGTGCGTATGCCCAGGACCCTGTAGGGTTCTGTCTGCCGTCTGTCCACATAGAGTCTCTCTGGGAAATGAGGGATTTTGCACGTTTCTTTTGCGCTCTGGCTAACGGCATTTCTTTGTTTTCAGTTGAGAGGGAAAATGTGCAGAAGAGGACTTTTACACGATGGATCAACCTCCACCTGGAAAAGGTAAGTGGGGGCCTCGGGGCTGGGGCATGGCACAGTTATATGTGTTCAACTGCAGCTGAGCCGATCGTTCTCAACAACGGCAAGGAAGAAATGTGGTCCTGCTCTTGTGTGTCTCTGTGTGTGTGGTATTGATGTGTGTGTGTGTTCATGTACATATGTGTGTAAGTGCACATATGCCATAGCATGCATGTGGAGATCAGAGGACAGCCTTGGGCATTGGTCCTTGCCTTCCACCTTGTTTGAAGCAGGACTTCTCGTTCACTGATGTATGCCCCAGGCTAGCCCGTGAGGATTCTCCTGTCTCCGGCTCTCATCTTGCCACAGGTGTGCCAGGATTACAGATGTGCGCTACTGGATCCAGCTTCCCATGGGTTCTGGGGACCCAAATTCCAGTGCTCAGATTTGTGTGGAAGGGCTTTATCCACTGAGCCATCTCCGCAGCCCACTGCTCTGTTCCTGATCAAGTCAAGCCTTTCTAAGTGTCTTCTTACTGCTGCCCAGGCTCAGTGTTAACAGGGGGAGACATGGCCACTCTCTGATCACCAGTGTAGTCGGGTGAGCAGAATTTCAGTCTTGTAGTGGGAATTCTTGAGCAGATGGTGGAAGACATTCCATGTTGAACAATCCCAATGTGTCCATGGACGGGATACAGTCACTCTCCAGCTCACACCTGCATCCAGCCATCTGCTCACTATGAGGCTGTTCGGAGCCATTCGTAGGCACGTAGACTGATTTATCTAGCCCTCTGGGCATCTTCTAGCAAAGCCCTTGTGAATCACATAGTGTTGCTCTTGGTGAGCCATACTGCCTGCCCCCCAACGCACCTCAGTCTGCGCTTGGCAGCTCCCCACACACTGCCAGGTCTCCTTGAACCCTCCCACAGTACCTAAGTACCAGCCCTAAGTACCCTCCTGTTAGAATGAGGAAGCAGGGACCCAGACATCCTAGGTCCTGAACTCCTCTGTGGCTTCTCAGTGGCCCCTTCCTTCTCCATTTACTTTCTTTTTCCACGTTCTTTGGTCACGCCACTTTGACTTGCATTGTGTCTACAAACTGCTGCCACACACACACACACACACACACACAGCATTATGTAGCTGACCCTGCCCTAAACAGAGAAATTGCCAAGGAGAGATGGGTGGGCAGATAATTCCCAGTGAGAAGAGGGTGGGGAGGGAGCAAATGACTAAATACTCTTTGCACATAAGGCTGGACCAGGACCATGGACCCCAGGAATAGGAGTATCTTTAGTTTCCTGGGCTGCAGGGTAAGACACTATCTTCCCTTTGAAAGAAAGCTGGCTTATGGGGCTGAGGATATAGCTCAGTGAGTAGAGTGCTTACCTAGCATACACAAAGCCTTAAGTTTTGATCCCCAGCACTACATAAACCAGGTGTGCATAGAGCTGTAATCCCAGCACTTAGGAAGTGAAGGCAGGAAAATCACAAGTTCAAGATCAACCTCAGATATTTAGTGAGTTTGAGGCCATCCTGGGGTATACATGACTGCGTTTCAAAAATTAATTAATTAGTGGCTGGAGAGATTGCTCAGTAGTTAAGAGCATTTACTACTCTTCCAGAGGACTAGGGTTCAGTTTCTAGCACCCACATGGTAGTTAACAACTATCTGTAACTCTAATTCCAGAGGGATCTGATGCCCTCTTCTGGCCTTTGTGGGAATTGCATGCACACGGTACACTTACATATATTCAGACAAAACATTCATACACATAAATTAAAATATTTAAATTAGTTAGTTAAGCTTATTTGAAGATTCATGTTATCAACACTACCTTGTCTTCCTCATGGACACTGATTCTCCAGCTACCCTCTGCCAGTTTCTCGTATTTTCCTCGAAGCTGGCTGTGCCCTAGGGGTACAAATTGTAGGAAGAGGTTCAAGTTCTTTTTTCTTCTCCTCTTAAAAGTACAAATTTAACTGTCGACGGCCTGGCAAAGACCGTCCCAGTGGTTAGAAAGCAGGGAAGTGGAACTCTTGACTGACGTTCTTGCCCAGTGGTTCACGTTTACAGCAGACTGTTTCTCAAGCTGGCACACAACCACCTGGCTCAGGCCCTGGATGACACGGTGCTGTCACCTCACCTGTGAGCCTCTTGAACTCTGGGTAGAGGAATCACACACGAAGCTGTGATATAAATCTTTTGCTGGTTGTTTTGACTTTGAGGGCATTTTTGGCATCGTTCAAAAAGGAAAACATTATTTGGGGAGAGGAACACAAAAGAAAACCAGTCCCTAAACCTGAGCTTGGTGAGCTCCTAAATTAATGCCCGATGTATGTCAGCATGGAGGGAATTCCTAGTGGGGGACCCAGCAGGGCCAGAGCAGCCCTTCCTTCTTTCTTTTTATAATAAAAATAAATAAATACAGAACAGAACAGAGTCAGGTCACAAATGCCCCCACATTCACCACCACCTGGTGTGAGCTTCTCTGAGCAAGCACGTGCCATTTCAAGGACTTTATCGTCTGCCAGCCCCATCCTGGCCCCCTTTTCAAGGCAGGGAGGGAGAGTGTAGCACCCATTCTGAGGCCAAATCAGACAGCACCTGAAACCAATGTGTAATAAACAGAGAGAAATTAACAGCCGTGTTTCCAGCCCTAGACTTTAAGAGCAGCCTTTCATGGGAAGGAAACCTAGGAACTCCTTGGTGAATTGGGCTTAACTGCAATTTGAAGGCTGTCAGGAATATTTACTGAGTCTCTGGCTTCTGGAAAAATTCCCTAATTTACCAAAGGAGTTCGATCATGCAGAAAGCCCTGGGGGTGCTGTGGATCCGGCCACAGCAGACTCCTGAAGCCGGGGGAATGTTGGGCTGGGAAGTGTTTGGGCTGGAGCTGGTTCAGCCTCTCCCTCCCACCCTCATGCCCCTGCCATGCAGCCCTGGACCCCGGCCAAGGTCGTGTTTGACGCCCGCTGCAGAGGCCCTTCCAGGAACTGCCGATGGAAATTGGCCTTCGGGTTTGACCCCAAAGTCAGAATTCAGCCTCTGTCAGCCTGGTAACCGGGAATTTTGTCAGTCCATTCATCAGGGGGTGTTTTGTTGGGGTGTCTCGTTTTTTGCTTCACATTAAAAGGAACAGTATTTTCCTGAGTCACAGTGCTCCCGTCAGCCCTGCCAGGCTGCAATGTGCCCAAGGCTGCAGTTTGCGAAGAAAATGCCCTGCCTTTTGGTTATAAGTTGCTGATGTCCTTGAGTCAAAGCCCTTTTCTGTGCACCTGTGGGTGGAATTGCCCCCAAACCACAAGGTTTTGACTACCTCGTGGTACTGAGGCTCATATAAAAGGTAAGGGAAACACAGGCACCCTAAGGGCCACCGAAGGAGGCTGCCCAGAGAAAAAGGCTGTATTTGTGAGGCCTCCCTTACCCTTGGATCTATACTGGGAAGGGATGCTACCTGCCCCAGGGATGTCCTGTTTCCCATCATCCTCAGGGGCAGACAGAGCATCCAGAGTCATTGCTCTAACCTGGCCAAAGCTCAGGTCCCCAAAGGAGAGAGGAATTCCTGCCGAGGCTGCATGAAGCTCAAGATGCAGACCTCTGGCCCCTGCTGCAGGAGACTCTGTTGCAGTAATTGCAACTGTTGCAGGCCCGACTTAGGAAATGGTTCTTTACCAAATAACTACTTGATGATCACTCAGCTTCTTTGAGCCTTAGTTTCCCCAAATCTGAAGTGAAGACTTGTACTACGTCATTTCCTGTAAGCCCGAATAAAACTCTGTGTGTGTGTGTGTGTGTTGTATGTGTCCCCAAATCTGAAGTGAAGACTTGTACTACGTCATTTCCTGTAAGCCCGAATAAAACTCGTGTGTGTGTGTGTGTGTGTGTGTGTGTGTGTTGTACGTGTTGTATGTGTGTATGTCTTGATCCATGTGCTGATGTGTGTATATGGCAAATGAGGGTGCATGTGTGCCTGTGGAGACTAGAGGCTAACCTCACATGTTCCTCAGGAGCTATCCACCTTATTTTTCTGAGAGAAGTTCTGTCACTGGGACTAGGGCTCACCAATCCAGCTAGGCTGCTTGGCTAGTGAGCCCCAGGACCCCTTGTGTCTCCACCTCCCCAGTTCTGGGATTATAAACTCACATCCCCATGCCCAGCTTTTTATGTAGGTACTGGGGGTCAAATTCTAGTCCTCCTCCTTATGCAGCAGGCACTTTACCAACTGAGCTACCTTCCCAGAGCCAGAATTCCTTTACTCTATGGTAGGCTGTCCAGGAGAGTCATTTCTTTCTCCCCTTAAACACAAACCTGGATGTCTAACCTTGGGGTCTGAGATCTCAGGTTCGGTGGGTCTCCTAGATCACTTATTCAGTCAGACCCCTGTTGCTGAATCTCTTGTACAACCCTCCCGCCAAGTTCCTGTGCACCTGCTCTCCAGAGTGCCCTTCCAGGGTGATGAACTCCTGCCTTCTCAGGTGAGCTTTCTGTAAGTAGCAAGAGCTGGATCCCTCCTGAGCAAGAACCGCATCTCAGAAATAGTTCACTTGACGAACCGGGTCACTAAATGACTTCATCCTTTCTTCCTGCCCCACAGTGCGACCCACCTCTAGAAGTTACAGACCTATTTGTGGATATCCAAGATGGCAAAATCCTAATGGCTTTGTTAGAAGTCCTCTCTGGGCGAAATCTGGTATGTATGCCACAGCAGGGTCAGGAAGAAGTACAAAGTGAGGCGCTACTGAAGGGTTGTTTCCCGTCACTGTGATAAAATATCTGAGGTAAATAACTTAAAGGAGGAAAGGTTTACTTTGGCTCCTGGTTTGCAGAGGTGTCATTATGTAGCCCCCCTTGGCCCTGTTACTTTGGGCCTGAGAAAAGGCAGTACATTATGGTGCCTTTGCCCCTTATGCAGGGGAACTTCTTCCCTCTGGCAGCATTAAGAAAGAGAGGAAGGGGCCAGGGGTCCCAATAGTCTCCTTGAAGGCACACCTCCAATAGCCTAACTTCCTCCCACCAGACCCCACCTTCTAAAGGTTCCACCACCTGCCAATAACAACAGGGCCTGGTGGCTGAGCCTTTAGCATATGAATTTTGGGGGAATCTTCCAGATCCAAATGGATGCTCACACCCAGACAGACACAAGTCCTGTAACAGGAAGTTACAGAGTGACATGAGCATGTTTGGTTGATACCTTTGTCTTTTATTATTATTATTATTAGTGGGGGGGGCACATACATACCAGTGTGTGTGGAGGTCAGGGGACAACTTGAGGGAGTTGGTTCTGTCCATCCACTGTGAACTCCTGGGATCAAACTCAGGTCACCAGACTTTTCATGACAAGCACTTTTACTTGATGAGTCACCTTGCTGGCCCATGATATTTATTTTGCTTTTTTTAAAAATGTATATTTTTATTGAATTTTTATGCATTTCACACAATACACCTTAAGCACATTTAAGCTCCCTCTTGAAGGCAAATATATTTCAGAGGGTAAATAAATAAATAAATACCCAGTGTTTTCAGTAAGCCTGTGGTGGGTAAGAATTGAAACTGGAACACTGAAGTTCATCTAGCTAGTCATCTTATTAACCAGAGTGACAGCTAAGAATCAGAAAGACTGAGGTAAAAGGATAAGTATAAGTAGTTAACCTCTAGATGTCAGGAACACCCATTAGTGTAGCAACCAAAAATGTCCCCAAAGTGGCAAACTGATTCAGTCCAAAATTCGAGTCATGGAGGTAGGGGTGGTCTGGAGAGATGGCTCAGCAGTTAAGAGCATTTGCTGCTCTTGCAGAGGACTGGAGTTTGGTTCCCACCATCCATGTTAGGCAGCTCACAACTCACATATAGTTCCATCTCCAGGGGATTTGACATCCTCTTCTGGCCTCCATGGGCACCCACACCCGGAAATGAAATAAATCTTTTTTTAAACAATGCCAGTCATCTCTAGGTTGAGAAACTGGCTATAGGTTCAAGTGTTTGGTTTGGCCTTGGTAGTCTTTCACAGCTGTATGAAGAGAACCGAGATATAACACCCCCAAACTGTAGTTCAGTGTGACTGCTCTGGATCTGAATTTAAGAGAAGACTTCTATTCTCAGACCAGTGTGGCCAGGACCTGTCACACCCCGTCACGCTTTCCACCTGGGCTTTCCCACTAGCAAAGTGGAAACTGCCCATGGGTGCCCTCAGAGGGAGGAAGCAGCAGATTCGGGCAAGGCATTCTCAACACATCCCTCAATGTGAACGAGCAGCCGGGTCTGCCAAAGCCTTTCTGAGGAATCCCATTCCAACCCCTTGTTCTATGTTCCCAGCAGACCAGCTGCTGCTTTGTAGCCGGGACACTACAGACCTTGTAGCCCAGTCAAGTTAGGCCTCAGATACCCATTAGCTGAGCCCAGCAGGTCCCTCCTGGTGGGACTATCATGTGTACTCCCTGGAGGAGCAGTGATGAGTTTAGGACAGTGTGAGTTCGCTCTGTAGCATGCCGATGTGCCTGTGACATTGTCGGGATTTTATTATCTGTAGTTCTCTCTCTCTCTCTCTCTCTCTCTCTCTCTCTCTCTCTCTCTCTCTCTCTCTCTCCAAAGCTCATGGCCAGAAACAGCCACATCTTCTGCCACTGGGGAGGCCTGCACTGAGACTTAGAGCTGACTGGTGACAAAAAATAGATCCATGTGTCCCTGTTGAACTTCCCCTTTCCCTAGTAGCAGTGAGTCATGTCCCAGGTACTGTAAACAGGCCGACCTTTGACCTTTGAGGACCCTGAGTGATATAGGGCCATTTGTGTACTACCCACGTGGGTATTAGGCACCAGCCCCTATCCTCCAGGAACCTGTATGGAAAAGAGAAAGAGAAAGGAAAAGGGCCCTGGGGCACAGCTTCCGAGGCTTGGCTGCACCTTGTTCTGTTTTTAAGTGAATCTTGTTCTCTTGATTTTCAGCTGCACGAATATAAATCCTCCTCGCATCGTATTTTTCGGTTGAACAACATAGCGAAAGCACTTAAGTTTCTGGAAGATAGCAATGTGAGTGTTTGAAGCCCAACTTCAGTAACGTGAGCTTCCTCTGGGATCAAAGGGCAGAAGTAAATTCAGTGCTGGTCAGGACAGAAGCAGGGAGAGGCATTCTACTAAAGTGACCCCACCCGAGCTTAGGGCGGAGGGAAGTCACTCAGAGAATTCACATTGGGGGATGCAGCCCACAAAACTCTGCCCTCCTGATGCTGTCCGTGGGTGGTTAGTCCTTGCAGACCAGCAGCTAGCTGACTCTGATCTTTGGGATTTATTGCCGGAATGAAACTGTCTCTCAAACTTAAGGCAGGAGAAGAACTAAGGAAAGGGGCTTCAAGGCCCCTGGGGAGATGACCGCAGGCCCCCTCTGTGACAGCACTTCCTAGCTCTGTGTTTGGAGCCGTTTCCTGTCCTTCC